TTTCATCATGTTGGCCAGGCTGGTCTCGAACTCCTGATTTCAGGGGATCCGCCTGCCTTGGCCTCCCAAAGTGCTAGGATTACAGGTGTGAGCCACTGTGCCTGGCCTCAAAATAAGTATTTTCAGATACCAATTATTATTTTGACTAAGTTTTCTATTTGTTTTTTTAATTGCTGCATAACAATTAGATTAAGTTTTTAAAGTGAGGATTATTGGGTCAGAGGCTTGTATGTTTTTAAAGCTTTTAATAATACCGTTTTTCATTTTTTTCCTTCAGTAGAATTGTTCTCAGTTTCACTCGGTAGTTACTATTCTTCATTAAATGATGGCTAATTCCTTTGTAATAAATTTGGTCTTTCTTGACATCTTGCTGTTTACATCTATTAATTACATTTTTAATTCTGGATTATAAATTACCATGTGAAAGAGTTTTTCCAAATTCTTGAAGCTCCTCTTCAGTCTTGAAGCTTCTCTTCCGCCTTTGCTTATTTAAATGTGATATTCCCCATCAGCCAACTCATTTTGAGGAAGAACATTTTCAGAGGTCCTCTTGATTGTGTCTCTTGTGCTGCAGAATACATTATAGAGCTCCCTACCTAAAGGAGAGATGTGTTTTTTGTCTGGAATCAAGGTGACTTTCCAGTGATAAATACAACCTTTGGTGCTTCAGTGCTGTGAAGTTGCCTTTTCCTTCTAGCTGCCATTTTTGCTTTTTTTTTTTTTTTTTTTTCCTCTCCTTTTCTTTTGCCTCTTGTTCTAAGACAGGTTTAATTTTATTTTCTGTTTCTCCTTTTAGGGAAGTTCCCAAGTCATTTACCATTTATTCGACTGTAGCTTTGTCTGGCTTAGACTCATTATTGAGTCAAAACCAAACCAATTATGGTAAGGGAGGTCTTTAAATCAAGGTAGGAAACACTGTAGAATGAGTAAGGTGTATAAATCTAGGGTTATCAACTTAAGAAATTCAAATTTTTAAGAAAACAGTGTATTTCGTTTTCACATCTCTTCATATTTACAGCATGGATTCCCTTTTTACTACGAATTTTTTTTATAATTTAGTTTTTAGAAAACATTTATTGAAATATAATTTACACACCAAGCTGTTCACTTAAATTGTATAGCTCATATAGTTTTTAGCATAATCACAACCATCACCATAACCACTTTAAAAACAACAAAAAGCCCCATAACTATTCTCTTAGCAGTCTTAGATTTGACTATTCTGGACATTTCATATAAATGGAATCTTATAATATGTGGTCCTTTGTGACTGACTTCTGTCACCCAGCATAAAGTTTTCAAGGTTCATCTATGTTGTGACATAGAGCTATCTGTGATTCATTTTTTATTGCTGAATAATATTCCATTGTATGGATCTTCTGCATTTTGTTTATCAATTCATCAGTTGATAGATAATTTGAGCTCTGGTTTACTTTTGGATTTTCAAAAATACTCAGAACTTTAAAATTGTTTTATACTTTTATGGGTTTTACAAAGGTGCTAATTTATGCTTTGCATGGCTAAGTTTGGTGTTTCTGTGGGACAGACAGTAGTTGGCTATATTTCTTCGAAGGTGAGAGATAGATCTACTAGGCTAAGACCAACTATTGGGAGTACTGAGCACATGGATGGTAAATGAGGCCACAGGAGTGAATAGGATTGCCCAGAGTATGTATAAAGGATAAGAAGGAAAAGGGCCTAGGAAAGAGCCCTGAAGAATAATAGTGTTTAAGTGTGATTTGCACTCCCACACCATTATGAAGTGCTATCTGTAACATTTAAATGCATTTACCCTTTGTCTTATATAGCAGTTCACTTCTAGAAATTTATTGTACAGATAAATAGTCTCACAGTTGGGCAGATATTTACGTTAATTGCTTGTATTTTCACAGAATCAGTCTAAAAGCGGAAGAACCCTCCCACATGTTTAGGACTTTTAATACCTGTTAGTCACTTTATTTTTAAAGGACTATAAAAATAAAGGAAAATATAAAGGAATATATACTTATTACACAAATAAATCATAAACACAAGGAAGGGAAAAGAAAGAAAATAAGATCAGTCAGGCACCATGGCTCACGCCTGGAATCCTAACACTTTGGGAGGCCAAGGCGGGGTAGATCACAGGTCAAGGAGTTTGAGACCAGCCTGGCCAGCATGGTGAAACCCTGTCTCTACCAAA